AGGGAAAGACACATAGAGATTTTATTTTTTTTAGGAGCAGTCATTTTGACCAAATAAAACAGTCTGTTACTGTTATTTCTCACTAATAGTCTGCTTTAATAAAACCCTATATGGTGGTACAGTGGAACCTCTAGATACGAGCGTCATTATCATTTATTACATTCTATTATTTTCATTGTAACACGGGGGAACAACAAAATTTAGGATACGAGCAAACGCATGATGACCATGGAAATAAAGCATAAAATTGCTGTTAAAAATGAGCGCCCGCTAAAGAAAGAATACAAAATAGAAAAAAATGAAATAAAAATAATACCTAAGCTAAGTTAAGGTAAGGTACTCTATGGAATAAAGTGTTTACATACGGGCCAACTCTCTTCCCTTCCTTCCTCCCCCGTCCTCCTCCACAAATGCCACCATTAGACGCTACTGTATCGTCTGTGTCGTAGGTAAGAACTCATAATTAAAACCTCATTTTATTTTATATCACAGGAATCCTTATATACTATATTTTTGTGTGTATTTGTCTCTATAATAATTAAAAATATGTTTTTTCCATTGTTATTAGCACTAATGAGGGAGTTTTTTAGAGGGCCGGAACAGATTAATTCTTTTTTCTGTTATTTCTTATGGGAAAATATGATTTGCGATATCGGTCCTGGAACGGATTATGCTCGTATCTCGAGGTTCCACTGTAATTTGTATGTATAAAATCTAGCATATCAAGCATTTCATAGAGTTTTGCTTTTCACATAAGAGACTTTATTGAAGATTTATGGAGGCTGCCATATAGGATTAGCATACAGTCATTTTTAAAAAGAAAGATTTTTACTGGCAACCAAAGCCTTAAATATTTGTCTTTTACATGCTTGAGTGGAGATTAAAGGTGGGAGATATAACTGTAACTTAATGGCTAAATGTACCTGCTGGAAAGTCACTGGTGGATGTTGTTACGAGTTTTACCTGGAGCAGACAGAACATGGTGTGGCCTACGTTGAAGCCATGCCTCCAGTTGTGGTAGGTGATATCACGGTAACCCTTCCTCACTGTGTACATCCACCTTGTCAACGTCTGACAGTCGTGGAGAAGACACAGAAAGAGAATGATGTATACCACATGTGTCAAACTCAAGGCCTGTGGGCCAAATGCGACCCAACAAGTCATATTGCGTGGCCTGCAGGAGCTTATAAAGTCTATGCTTTTTCAGCGCGTATACTGACCATAAATTACAACAACAATGCATTTCATGATGATGAGAGATGAACCACTGTGATGTCACTAGCTTTATTTCTCTGTCATATTTACAACAGAATTCTACATGAAGAGCTTTTATACTGTTTGGAAAAACAACTTTTACAAAGCCCACATTGTAAAAAAAATAATTAAGAATATAACAGACTGCGTGACTGACCTCTGCGGGAACCTTAAACTTTTCCACCACTCCAAGTTCAAAGAAAATACGAATGCCAGTTTTGATGAGGTCGTGCTCCGTAACTGGGAAGTCACTGAAGGAGAACTTGTATATATCTTCACCGTTTACGTTGTTCGCCGGCGGGCAGGTTGTTCGCTGCATAAAATGTCAAACACAGAGGCACAATTAAACACTCCAAAATACAGATTGTGTGTATTTGGTGTTGACTGTATTATTTATTTAACAGGGGAAGTTCAACTGGACTGACAATCAACTCACAACATTTTAATAACTTTGGTTCATGGATATACAATTTCTTTTTGACATGTTCATGTAACGGCCATAAAAGTTCTTCACATCAATTGAAAACAAACAAAAAGAATAATACACGTACCAAGAGTTTATACATCTCTTTCTGGTCACAGTCTTCTGGCTCTGCATCGAACTTTTCTTTGGTGTTCTGGTCATAAGAGAAGGAACAATCATTAGAACTGACATTTCCATGCTGCACATGAACAGGCCGCTGTCATCGGAACCAATATGCAGCTTGAATTTCTACTTCAGTAACATAGACTGGGGAAAACTTCCTGATGTCCAGGGCTTCTCAGACAAACACTCAAAGACCCACTTGTAAAACAATACTCAGTTTCCTGAGGATAAATGTTAAATTATTAGCTGCCACATCACCATTAAAATGTGATTCATGCTGAATTAACCTTTAAGGACAGTTCCGATTCCTGCACAAGAGGGGTTTTGTAAAAATGTCTAGGCTTTCAAAGGTAGAGAAGCTGCAGAAAAAAAAACACTGACCAGAATGGACTGCAGCTCATCCTTTGTGCATTTGGTTTGGTACATCAGCATCTCTTGCGCAATATCTTTCCTGTACTCCATACGGTTCAGCTTGTCGTAGGTGTCGCAGTTGAGCACAGACCAGCCGAGGAACTGCGTCAGGGCCTGAACCAAAACAAAGGAAGTGGGAGAGATGTAAACACAAGAAAATATATGATTAAAGTTCATTTAGTTAACCTGATAGACAGAGAGATTGATGGATAGATGGATGGACGGACAGACAGACAGATAGATAGGGATATTTCTCTAGTCCACCATGCCACATTTTATTACGCAGTGACGAATGACTCTCTGAATACCACAGGTATAAATCATGGGAAGTGGAACCGTGCTGCTGACCTCAGTGATCTGTTCGTCATGTTCATCGAAGGGTTTTCCGTCTTTCCTGTTAAAGAAAGTGGCAATGCCCACAATTTCTTCCTTCTTGTTGACAATCGGCAGCGACAAGACGTTCTTGATGATGAACCCCGTCTCATCCACAGCGGTTTTCTGAGAGCCACACACATCAACATCAATTACTCAAGAGTGAAGAGGGAACGTGGTATGTCATAGCTTTAAATTAATTTAAAAAAACAATACTTCATATATTAGAGTAAGGATGATATTTTTGTAAAATATTGAGTTGATGTTTATGTCGTACCCAGTTATACACCCCTCCTTACCTGGAACATGAAGAAGTCATCTGCTGCCACATTCATCATGTTGCAAATCTGGAGTCATAAAAAAAAAAAAACATGAACAATACATTTACATACCAACATTTTTATGCAAAATACTTTTTGTTGCACACATAAAAGTATTTGAATATGATATAAGAATTACTGTGACACAATATGCAATTCAACGCAATACATGATGATATATAGGATGTTGTGTCATACAATATAACATATATGATACCATATCATACTGTACAGTACAATAAGGTGTAGTACATGTGTCAAACTCAAGGCCAGGGGGCCAAATGCGGCCTGTCAAGCCGTTTTGTGTGGCTTGCGGGAGCATAAAAAGCATTTAGTAAAACCCATGCAGGAGAGTTTCTTAACCTTTTTTTATTACACAGCAATGAACTATATTTTTTAGCTTGAATACATAATAATCAACTGCAGAAACATGTATTAGTCCGTTATGGAGTAGTTACATCTATACCAGCGGTCTGCAACCTTTTTGTTTCAAGGACAGGTCAGCCAGTACCACCTGTTACCTGTGACCTATTGTTTTAAAATATTGCCAGATTATATTTAAATAAATAAATAAAATGAATATGACTGGATTTTTTAAAATTAAGTAAATTATTCACAGTAAAGTAGTGTCCCACTGCAGCCCGGTACCAAATGACCTATGGACTGGTATTGGTCTGCGGACTGGGGGTTGGAGCATCCCTGATCTATACAGTCTTCCATTTCCATTTACATTGCAGGGGCCACATTGCTGATGTGGCCCCTGGTGAAAATGAGTTCGACACCCCTGGTGTAGTACATCATGGTACGTTTCAATGTAATACATGATATGGTATGAATCATCTCAACTCATGTTCATCTTGACCATCTGTCCAATCCTGTTTCTGTCTTCCTTTCTCTCTGACTGCTCTAGCTGTTGACATGTCCCTGTGACGTGACAACTCTGCTTCTGGTTACTTTCTTTTGCTCTGTAATTCTGTCAACTGCTGCGAGAGACTTACAAAGCCATTCTCTGCGACATAGGTGGGCAGCCCACTGACTAGAGCCCAGTGATCTGCAGGCGGAGCCCTGAAAAGAAGACAGCTGGAGTGAGAACAGGACTCAAGCATGTTAAACAGCGTTGACAATCATCGCTGAATACATTTCTACATTCCTACAATTCACATCCCCGCTTTTCTCTCACCGTAGTTCCAAAATGACACCTGTGAGAAATCTCACTCTGATGTAAACAGTGGACTGATGCAGAGTGAAAAATGAACAGCTTTTGATCTATTTGAAATGACAGGGATGCTGCTATCTGACAAAATATAACAGCAACGTTTTTTCAGTAGTGGGCAATTTCACTTCCTCACACACTATCAGTGCTGTTGTGTAGAAAAATAAACTGTTCGATTTATAGTAAAAATGGTCCCTACATGAAAGGCAGAGGATTTCTTATACTGTAGAGCAGCCTGAGACATCAGATGTATTCACTCCTATTGGTTACTACATCATGAGAATAGTTTATGTTTATTTAACTTAAATCAGTGCTTTTAGTTTGAAAGGATATGGCTTGTGGATTCTATCTAAATATTTGAACTATTTTAATTGCTGTATATACTGAAGATCAGAATCTTATCTGCTGTATTTCATATATCTTTTTTATTTGTCTTATCTGCTGTATTTCATATATCTTTTGTATTTGTATTTTCATTTTTTGCACAGTTAAAATACACAAAAATAACAAAGAACACCTAAAAATCCAAACAAGTAAAAAACTGTTTAAGGTCTACATCCACACTTACGGTATGACTTTGATTTCTTCTTTGCTCTCCAGGAGGTAGTCAATGATTTTGTAAAAGTTGACTTCCTGTGTGGAAAGAAAATCATCTTAAAAATGACCAGTGCTCTATTTATAGCAATGTCAGGTGGCAGAAAGGTTGAAGAGTGTTAAAACACCACATGTGTCAAATATGATGTAAATGAGGTGAAAAATGAATTACTTACCCTGCCATCTGGTGTTTTAGGACCTTTATATGGTTCCACGTCTCCCAGTTTTACTGGCCATTCATCATAGAATTCCTGCAGGTAAAAAACACACAGACAATATGGTTGGAAAGTGTTAACATAAGACACCAAGTATGTTTTACTCAGCAAAACACCACTCCAGACTAACCTTTTCTTTGGTCATGTCTAAGAGGCCCACTGAGTATCTTTCACATTGTAGATAGGTCCTAACAGTGTAGAGGGCTTTGTGGAACTGTCTCTCAATATCCGTCAACTCCTCAAACACTTTACTGGCCGACCACAGCAGCACCTTCAAAAGAAAAATAGCACTTGAAGAGATTATCATTTAATAAAAAGTCACATTTTTCAGTCCTGGTATTGTTTGCATTTTGTTATTTAAAATCCCAAAGGACACCAAAGCATTAATGCAGTGGTTCCCAAAATGAGGGGCTTAGAGCTATGGCAGGGGCCACAGTGGGGCAAATTAATTCAAGTGTTTCTTTAATTGTGCCATAGTTGGGAAATTGTACTGAGTAGAAATTCAATTTTTGGTTAAACTGAAAAATGTGCTTTGAAAAAGAGTTCCGAGTACTTTAAAAGACGAAGCACACACTAAGATGATGTGGGTGGCCTAAAAAATATGGAGATGTGGATGGGCTTGATAAGACCGCCCTTACAGCAAACAGGTCACTGGTTCGATGCCCAGTCTTAATTAACAAAGTTAATCGGGTCTTTGGATAAAATCTATTTTTTATAAACTTTTTACAGTGTTGTTTAAAGGCATTAAGACAAGATTAGTGGCACATGCCACGCTGCCATCAAAGCCAAGTTCAAATATTCACATTTAGGAATTTCTTAAAGTAAATTGAAAGGGTTAAATAAACCTAGTGACTGTTAGGCGCATGATAATTTATACAAGACAATTCAGTTGTTACTACCAAACACATTTTTGGTTAAGAATTAGATTAAATAAATACTTAAATATATGGCTGTAAAATTGTATTACGGAAAGCCATTTATTAAATTAATACATTGGTAGAGAATGGTAGAGAAAACATGAATCATTTTTATGTTGTGTATATATAAACTAGTTTGCTTTTTTTTACTTTTGGAGCAGCCTTAATTTAAAATATCACAGTTCAGTTTACCTGACTCCTCCTGGACTCCACGTTGTACATGTAAGCTGTGTAATGCTGCAGGGCGATGACTTGAGCAAAGTTCATGTACTTGTGGAAAAGCTGAGAACCAAACCAGAGTAGAGGTTTAAACAACGACGGGTTTAAACGTGAAGAACAAACAAAAAAGTGGTGTGGAGAGGGAAATACTCGAGGAAGCTGTGATTTAGTTCATATCAAAATTGATTCTAAGTCTTTAAAATGTTGCACATTTAACATAGTAAAGACAGGTTGAAAGGTCAGTGCATGACATAATATTATATATAATATAAACTTCATATTTTGAAATATACATTAAAACATTTCTTCATGTTTGTGTCATTTCAATCAATCCAGACAATGTAAAAAAACAAAACAAAACAAGAAACCCCATTATGTTATTGATGAAGGCAGCGGTGGATCAACAACTCGACAGTTTGATGATGTAAAACTATTGACTTTTGCGTGGACTTTGCGACAAATGCAGTGAACGAAGCAAAAGGAAAAAAAAAAAGCTGCTTCTGGTTAGAAATAGCTGTTTGTCAGGCAGATAAAACATGACGTTGATCTAAGCAAAGAAAGTTGGTTATCAGATGAACTCTCTGCTAAATGGAATAAAGAGTGGGCTATATTTAAATAAAGACCACAGTAATGAGATATTTCTAATGAAGTTAGTATTCCCCTCTTTCAGCTCAGCGCTCTCAGGCAGCCATGTCAAGGTACCGAGGCCTGACTAACACTGACATTATTGCTCTCTGCTGGCTCAATGTAATTACAGCCATTATCTTTATTACCAGCTGCTGTCATGACTGGTGGTTAAAGCAGCTTATTGGTATCATTTTTACCTTTGTATTATTTCCACACAAATCTGTTTTCTGTTTTTCCTTCTCCATCTTTTACTATAAACTAACACCAGATACGATAGCTGAGGCTTCTGGATAATCCTAAAAAATGTATTTGGAACATATCTGGAGAGAAAATAAATATCAGTACCAGCTGGTGACAATAAGCAGTGAAAGAGAACAGACAAATCACTACAAAAGTAATGTCAGACTGTATAATTGTTAAAATTCAACCAGTACCACACAGTAGAAGCAGCTTTACAACCAGTGACAAATGAAAAGTGACTACAGTATGATGATAATAATAGTAATGCTAATAAATGATAACAGCCCTAGGTCTGGGACCAGTCCTGCAGATCAAGTACCAATGTATGTAATTAAAACTGTAGATTACTCCGTGAATAATATATAGCATTAATTAGTGTGTAGCACTTCAGTCAGAACTGATTGGATAATGATTACTGAGTACTTAACATTTTGTATGATTGGCTTGTCTGTAAATATAACTGAATTGACTTCTCAGTTCTGATGTAAAAATAAGCAATTTTTACTTAAGTGAAGTATAATTTTACACAACATTTTGACCTTTAAAATTGTACTATTTAATATTTGAATGAGCACAAAATCCATGCATATAAATCAAGAGCAGCGTTATTTGCTGGATGCCACTCCTGACACAACACTGTTGGTTAATTTGGGGACTGTAACATAGCGACATACACAGCTGACTACATGTAAAGCTAAGCTTTCTAACGACCTTCCTATCCATTGAACTATTTAAGATATAAAACTAAAGATGTCAGATATTAACTTTTTGCCGATGTTCGATATGCCCATATTTTCCAAACAATTAATTTCCGATTCCAATATCAACTGATATAGGCATGGTAATATGTATTTATTTATCTGTACAACCCACTGTATGAGTTGCTGGCTCCAGCATTCTGAATATAATCCAGTTTTTTTAAAAAGATTAATAAATGAGCTGCATTGCTGCCATCTAGTGACTTTCAGTTGCTGTCAGTATACAGCCTTTTATCCCCAAACACTATATTTAGGGCACAAATCATCTGGCCAAACCCAGGCATTGTGTTTTGGGGTTTTCATTATCGAAAACGATTCTTACAGATATTACATAATTATAAATAAATAAAATTATGCCAATATCGACTGATAATATTAGGCAGCCAATATAATCGGACATCCCTGAATAAAACGTTGTTGTTTATTATATTGTTACAATGGTATACTGTAGTACTATTCAATGAATGTATCAGGTTTTCTTCAAATCTAATCATTAGTGTCCACTGTGCACTGCAGTGTCCCAACTTATGTATGAGCTCAGCATGCTGGCTGGTGCATGTGTGTGTGTGTGTGTGTGTGTATATATATATAAATATATATATGTGTGTGTGTGTGTGTGTGTTTGTGCGCACTTACAGCCTCATCCTCCGCTGAGAAACTGTCAGCTCCTTGTTTATTCAGTGCTGTGACAACTCCCAGGCATTCTTTCTCAGCCATTACGGGGAATGTAAGCATACATTTGGTCTTATATCCTGTCTGTTTGTCCACAAAGTCACAGAACTTTGGATTCTGCATCAAGAGAGAAGCAGCAGAAAGTTGATTTTCAACAACACACGACCTTACCATGGAAAAAAGCAACAACAACACTGTAACTTTTTACGTCACACGTTAGTCTTTTAACTCACAACTTTAGTATATATTAATTTTTTTCCCCAAACTTGATGCTAAGATGCAGCATGAGTGGAAGGTTTTACACTTAGTATATAAATTAGCAAAGAAAATTGGCATGCAACATAATACGGAAAAAATTAACCTTAGACTTGCATTGTTTGATTATCACAGCCCTTTATCCCTTTTAATAAATTATATAAAACATTATTTATATTGGACTAAATATTGACAAATTTACTGTAAAACCAAGATTCATTAATTCGATAAAACAAAAAAAATGCATATTTTTTTATTAATGGACATTTTTTGATAATTTTTAAAATACATCTTAATAAAATATCTCTTTAAATTGCTACATTGTCAGATTTTTAACACTTTTGCGTTATTCTTAAAGAATAATACTGACAGTTATTATATAGCACCAAGTTCTTCTAATCCTGAAGCAGTATTCACAATATCTTGTTACTAGTAGGAAATATAGCGATAAAGAGGTATTTGATACTGACTACTAATAAAATGACGTAGTATTAACGGTTGAGTACTCATTACTACAGATATAATTTAGCAGCAATGAGAAATCGATGTTCGTTATTCGTAATTAAGTAGAATTAGACAACGTAAATCCATTTAATGGCAAAGTACTTGATACTAATAGTACTTACACAACGGCTTATACAATCCCAATTTAAATTAAGTTTGGACTTACAGCAGTTTATTATTTATTTTTGGGGCAAATAAAACTTGGAGCTAACTGAAAATATTACCGCGTGAGTAGCTTTTCAAGGATGCGCAAAGGACGATGGGATACTTCTCGGGTTTTAGTTTATTTTAGTGGTTTAGTTTTATTGTTTGTTGGTTTTGTTGTCCTAACTAAGAACTTTCTCCAAAGGCCACTTCTTACCTTGGTGACATCGGGAACATTCTGGGGCTTTTTGAATTGCGCTGTGTGGCCAATGACGCCCATGTCGAGAGGGAAGACGATCTCCTGCTGAGGGTTGACCAGGTTCATTTCGTAGGTGGAAGTCGTCGTCACGTCAAAGAGGGAAGTGGCCAGCTCGGGTGTTCCGTTTCTGGCACGGCACATGTAAAAGCTGACCCGGTCAGCTTGGAGCAGCATGACCAGCCTCTGCAGCACCTTGTGCATGGACTTCTCCATGTCCCCGGACTTCTGCAGCTCCCGAACCAGCTCGAAGATGATGGCGGCCTCCTGCACCGAGTTAACATCCTTGAACGATGCGGTGTCTTTGACGTCCACGGGCGCAGAAAAGGCGGCCGTCAGGGCATCGGCGCGGAGTTTCTTGTCGAAATATTCTTTGGCGAACTGCGGGTTGTTATCCAGGTATTTCTCCACGCTGTCCTTGTCTGCCATTTCAGAGCTTATATAATTGTTTTATTTTCCCTTTATCCTCAGAAGCATCACCAGCTATGGGGAATGACGAGGCTGGAGCGGGAACAGGTGCTGGATGAGTTGCATCGGTGTGCGCACACGCACTCCTGGACACAGTGGACTGGACTGGACTGGACAAGGCTGAGATGCTGCTAAGAAGCTGATAGGATCAGAGCTGCTAATTAAGGTTACGTCACGACATTAAAGCCTTTACTTTAAGCGGTCCAAACCCTTGAATCCCAGCACAGATCATTTTATATCAGTCAGTTGTCAGCATCGGAGGTCAAAGGTCAGATCACATGCACCTTATTTCTCCCACCTTCATGTCTAACCAACATATATTTTTTAACATTCTTATGAAATGAGAATTTGCCGAGGAACGAGTCGATAACGATGATTATCGGATTGCCAAATGAAGTAGCCAAGGTAAATCTGAGCTGACCTCTGACCCTTGAACATCCTAAACATCTGTCTCCGACGCTGAAGTCCTCCCTTTCCGATGTACAGCGTAAAAACACATACTGAAGTCCTCCCTTTCCGATGTACAGCATAAAAACACATATTGCACAGGAACTAGTTGGCGAGTGGAGTGGACAAATATGTCGTAAATAAAATTAAGCTACACATTTTTTTTTTGCTATTGTGCTTCTTTGGTAACGTGTTCCTTTCTTGAAACGATCATTTTTCCAATTCTCGGTTCCACAACGTCGGCCTCAGGGAGTGAAGAGCAAAACTGAACTGCTGGAATGCTGCTGTGCAAGCAGGCCTAAAATAAAGTGAGGCTACATGTCGAGACAGGAAGATATGGATGCTGCGGAGATCCATAATGCAGCTGGTTCGGTCTTCCAATGTTAGGAAAAGGCAAGTGCTTTACGGCTAAAGAGCGATGGTGTCCAATTGGACTGGTGCAGCTCAGTTAGTGTGCGGCGCCAGCTCAACATCTAATGTGACAACTTTAGTTCATCCATTTAAACTCCTACATTTAACCAGACTTCCTTCAGTCCGTGTTGTCCGTGCTGACCACAGGGAGACGGTACCTAAATGGTGACAGAGCTCTAATGACCTTTCTCTTAGTGCAGCCTGTCCGTCTTCCTATGTGCCTTAATGCAATTACCATTGTCATGGAAGCAGCAGCCCTTCCTGAACCAGGCATTACCCAATTAGTAGGACTTGAGCATGTAATAACAAGGCCCCAAACCAAGAGGGCGGGCTATTATTAACCAGTCACACTGACTGCTTTGGTGCTGTCTGACAGCCAGGCACGGCCGGTCGGTTCCTAACTATTTATTGCCGTGTTGAATAAGAGCTGCCTTTAATCCACACAAATAATTGTGTGGATTCTATTTGTGAAGGAGTGAGTGTGTTTACTTAGGTGCGAGACAGTGGGGATGAAAAATAATACGTGTGATTTCACCGCAGAAACAGGATGAAGGTGCACAAATGAAGTGAAGACGGGTTTAGTTATAACGAGAGAAATATTTCTTTGAGTCAGAGCTCAGCAACAAGGCAGTAGGTAACATACACTGTGGAAGGCATTGTTAACATGTAGGGTAACAACCCAAGTAGACCTCGTCTAGAGCAGTGTTTCTCACTTTCAAACTTTCTTTTCTGGGGACCCATTCAAACTTTTTTTTCTGGGGACCCATAAAAGTCTGAAACCTTTGCGACCCAAGTCAAGAGAAATTATTCGTAAACTCCTGGGAAACATGATGTGAGACGACCCAAAAAATATTTCTTGCGACCCACCTGAGGGAAGAAACAAAAACATACATGTTCTTTCCAGGTTTTATTGCTAATACCTAATGCAGTGTTTTTCAACCCGGGGGTTGTGACCCCATATGAGGTCACCTGAAATGTATTTCCACTGATTATTATTCTTGTAAAAAATAATGATAAAAGCACCACATTTGATCATTAACAACTGTTAATAACAGGCATGGGAAAACTAAGGGCCGTGGGCCGGATGCGGCCGTTCAGCTTTTTAGTCTGGCCTATTAACAACTGTTAATAACAGGCATGGGCAAACTAAGGGCCGGGGCCCGCCAAACTTTTACTAATTATATAATTTATATTTTCAAAATACTTTTGCCTTTTCCCTGCAATACCCACATTTCCCCAATAGATGGCGCAGAAAATGATAAAAGCATTTTAACATATTAGCCTTTATGCATGACTTTACATGTCATTAAGAAATGAAAGTTATTAATACAATTGCCTGATAACAGTAAAAAAATAGTTTGGTATCTCTATTCTACTTCTTTTCAGTTACAGAATACTGCAGTAGGCCCTGAAAATGCAGTAAACTCCTAAATAAATTGAACTGCATCAGGATATAAAATACATGAGTTTTTTCTTTTTTATTTGTATTTGTTTAATGGCCTGTGGTCTACACTACAATGTTATTTGCCACCACTGCAGTCCTCCAGGACAAAATAAGGAAAGGTCAGTATAGAAATGTATAAAACAATCACTAAAAATATGTTCTTTCCAGTATAAGAAAAGAGATATTTTAAACGTAGACATAAAAGTAAGCAAAAACATGAAAAGACACGTCGGAAGTGAAGCCTTTTTACCATTCAACGGGCAGCACTTTTGTCCCATTAAAAATAAGTGGAGCTCCTGAGAGTTCTGTGACTTTTGCTGCTGCTGCATGGGTGTACTGAAGGTTTACAGGCAGTAATTCAGATGCAGTACTTTTCCCCCCAAAATACCATAGCTGCTTATGGAAGAATAAAAGGTTTATGCAAATACTGGCAGTCACTGACTAACACAGTAGCTTTGTCTGAATGACGTGCACGTTATATCAGCGTTCCACTTGTGTGCCAGACTTTTCAGTACATCAAGAACGACTGGAAGTCTCTCAAATATCAATAAACAACGGGCTGTAAAGAGACGTGCCTGAGACACAGTGAAAACTGATGAAATCATGATTTTGATACACAAAAGTATTTACTACAACGGAGTATTAGGGCCACACTGAGAAAAGAAAATAATAAAAAATAACGAGAATACAGTCGAAAAAAGTCATTACGTACCAAGAAGAAAAAAAAGCTTTTGTTTCTGCTCACAGTAGGGGAGAGCACACTTTTTTAACTGGTTGGGGCTTTGGTTATGTAACCTGCAGTTTTTTTTTTATTTGAGCAGGTCATCAAAGGACTGGTTACATGAACTCAGAACCTGATTTTTTTTTCTCACTGTATAAAGTGTAAGTCAAAAGTGATCAGAGGATTGATTGGACTTTAGATGTTGAAGATGTGGGAAATCTATCGCGCCCTTATGGAAATACACAATCAAAAATTAGTCAGGGATCAGTTTTTGATTTGACTCTGACATCAAATATTACTTGCACGGATTTCACAGCCCAGGCGTTCCACTTTGCATGTGTGTGTGTGTGTGTGTGTGTGTGAGAGCGTGTTTACCCGCGTCTGTATTGACTATTTTCTGCCTAAAGTCCATCAGTCTCCACTGTTTACACAAACACAATGCTGTATTCTACACAAGTCCCCCGAGAGTCTGATTGTTTCACCAGCTGATGTCGTTACTCTGACAAAATATTTCCTTCAGGGATTGCATTCATTACAGTCTAACCCCCCTCCCCGTCCCCCACGTGTGTGTGTGTGCACGTGCTTCAAATACATGTATCCACACCATAGTCAAACACGTTCAATTGCAGAGACAGAATTTTCACAAATCAAATCATTTAAGGATTCTAAGCGTTACTGTGTCCAGGAGACAAACAGTTGGTTTGAAGCACCGGTGCCTTAGGGCAAGATGGCGTTTAGTTCAGAAAGTTCATAAGTAGTTTGCACGTCCAAAACAACAACAAAAAAATGTTCCTTTTGCATGAGCCTAGGAATCGATGCTCACTCAACTCACCACATACAGTCAAAATGGGATTCTAACCCTACATCCTCTTACTACTAGACCTCAGGGATGCCTCAAGTGGCAGTCAGTGACCTGAACTTGCCTTACTATTTTTCACCTTGTGTCATCTATCTTAGGGGTTCACAAACTTTTACACCGACTTCCGGCCATTGCAAACCCACAGACAAGGCTAGACAACAAATGTGTTTTCACAAGTCAATTATTACGCTCTATATTCCCACCGTATAATACACATTTCGACAAACTGGGAACAAAACACAAGGAGTCAAGAACCTGTCTTGTCCGAGGTGCATTCAGGTACAATCGGATACTCGAGAATCCAACGACTTTGGCATTTTATGTATTGTACAGTGTATTGTTCAAGAAAAAAAATGTTATAAAAATAAATATATATATATATTTCTTTGCATTTTTCTTATTATTTTCCCTCCAAATTAACACTCTTTAAAAACCCATAAAGCATTGTTTCCCAAAGACTGGGTCGCAAGAGATCTTTTTTTTGGGGGGGTTGTCTCACGTCATGTTTTCCAGGATTTTACGAATCATGTCTATAGACTTGGGTCACAAAGGTTTGTGTATTTTAAAATATGGGTCCCCAGAAAAAAAAGTTTTGGGAAGCTGGTGTAAAGTATCCGCACTGAAAAGGTCAAAGCAGTGGAAACGTACAAAAATTCAAAATGAGACCAGAACAAGTGATTTTTCCGTTCTTTTTTTTTTTTGCTGTCAGGTTACAGCGTTGAAGCACGATGAGGTAATTCCAGATCATTCTCTATAGATTTTATAAGACAAAGAAGACTCTGCTCTGATGTCTGCCAAATGTGCAGGGTGTACAAATCAGTGAGCGAGAACCCATCGACTTATGTAAATTCTGTCCAATGGAAGGAAAGCTAACAGTGGGAAGAAGAGGGGAGGTCCAGGTTTCCAGAGGTTCTTATGCAACATGAGGGGAGTGTATAAAAGGTCAAAAGTGGGAGAGAACACTGGAGGATCTCTGTGAACAGTTCACCTCTGTTTGAGAACAGACACGTAAGTCATTTTCAGATTCCTTTTTTTTGTATTGATCAGTACTGGGTTAGCTGCTGTTTCATTAAGATGTGTCTAATTCTGAAGGAAATATTAAAATGGTAGTACAGTAGGCTCACTTCCTTTCATGTGTTCTTCTTCTGTGACGTAGAATGTTGCGCTACCTTGTGGCCCTCAGCCTCCTGGCAGTGTCCTGGGCTCAGGACTGCCAGGTGGCCAACATACCGGTCATGCAGAACTTTAACAAATCAAGGGTAAGTCGATGAGTGATGCGGGTGTGAATGATGTAAAACTTGCTGTTGGATTGAGTTTTTATATACTTTGTATCTTTGATAGTACGCAGGTCAGTGGTACGCTGTCGGTAAAAAAGACCCCGATGGTTTGTTCCTGCTCGACAACATCGTGGCAAACTTTAATGTTGACGAAGACGGAATAACAACTGCTACTGCCAGAGGCAGAGTGTATATCTTTAAGTAAGTTTCTTCCCTCTTCAACGCATCTTAATTTAAGTGAACAATAAGCCAGTCATATTTTTCTTTTTAACCATTCTTTACCTAACCTGTCATAATGTTGGGTCTACAGGTACTGGGAAGTGTGTGCTGATATGAGGGCCACCTTTGAAGATACCAGTGATCCTGCCAAGTTTAAGATGAAGTACTGGGGAGTTTCAGCTCTACTGCAGACTGGATGTAAGTAGTAGAACTTTTCACTTATGCTACATGTCATTAGCCCATTTCTAAGCAAAAGTTTATTCAAGGCAACAACAGCAACAGCAGCAGCAGCAGCAGCAGCAGCAGCAGCGTGGTTTAAGACCAATAAACTTTAGTCTTGACACTGAGCATCAATGGCTTTCAGTTAGGGAAAAAAGAAGTGCATTTTGGGGGGGGGGGGGGACACACTAGAAAACTCATTTCTAAAAAAAGTTAGGGAAACATTTTGAATCAATGTCACTTTCATTCAAGTTGCCCCAAACATTTGTGTAGGAGCATATGCTTCAAAATAATCACACAATAAATACCTCTTGTAGTTGGGACTATTTTCTCTGGAAAATAGCTTTCTATTCTCATTAAAACCAAGGAAATAAAAGTACAAATCAGTCGCTTTTTCCCCCACTGTGGCATAATTTTAAAAAATGTGTCCTCCAATGGGGCCCTGCCCCCATGTTGGGAACCACAGTAATGTTTCAAAATTGAAATTGTCTACAATTAACCTTCAATCTGTTAGAAATATAGGATGAAACATATATAAAGAGTTGCAGCTCATTTTGAAATTCTTTGAAAATCAACTGTAAGCTAGACAGCAGTAGAATCTCTGATTGCCGTACAGATTTATGATATACCAATATTCAGCCAGAACCCACCCCCCTCCCCCAAAAAAACCTCTCTTTTAATTTTACTTCTGACTGTCGTCGAGTGACCGTGATCCCCATTATTCTAACCAATAAAATCTTTTATTATACAGGGACATAAAAAGCTAATATCTGCAGATGCCGCAGCAGCAGCGATCACTCATTTGACCTCCTCTCTTTGCCTCCACAGATGACGACCACTGGGTGATTGACACCGACTACGACAACTACGCCGTCCATTACTCATGCAGAAAGGTGCACGAGGTGAACGGCACATGCGCGGACAGCTACTCGTTCATTTTCTCACGTCACGAAAGTGGTCTGAGGCTAGAAGACCAACAAATTGTCTCCGCCAAGAAGCACGACATCTGCCTGGCCGGCAAATACAGACGCGTGACGCACACACGTGAGTAGTGTCCGTGTACCGAACAGAAAGCACGGTGCAAGCTTATGTAGACACTGCATTGCTAGGACGATGTTCTGACCAATACCATATAATGTGTCTGTCTTTATCCCCACAGCTGGACAGTGCGAGAACCTCACACCTATCGACTCAATCCCAGTTCCTGGCCCAGAGGATGAGGCACACCAAAACATCTGATTGGACCTGCGACTGGATTCCAAATCTATTTACATCGATCACAGAAACACCAGAAGAACTCTACTATTATTATCAATAAAAATAAATAAAACATAAGTTGGTGGGGCGAGGGGGCGGGATGGTTTAAGGTAAAACAATAAAAATAAATAAAACATAAGTTGGAGGGGCGGGGGTGGTTTAAGGTAAAGGTCCATTTCTTTTTCAATATTTGTTGAGTTCTAGCTGTTGGTCAGGGCTTCGGTCCTGGGGGAAGAAGAGTAGGACTGAAAGTGGAGTTGTCACCTCTGGGACATTGGGCCTCAGTGTTCGTTACTGGTTCCCTTCTTGTTCTCCTCTTCCCTCTCTAAGGTAGTCACCCATTTCCAAATAATGAACTCAAAATGTGTAGAAGCAGTCATATTTAAATGGTGCTGGTCCTTGTTAAATCTGAACATCTCTAAAGAATACTGTAAAATCTTTAAAGTCGTGTGAGGATTAGGAACACCCAATGGTTAGTGATACATAATACTGCCATGTTGGTAGTAATGCCACATAGTCTACTTCTCATTGATTGAAAAAAAAAAAGTCTGCTTTGTTTGACTTAAACATTGAATATCTGGTATGAATATATCTAAATAACCCTGTATACAGACACAGTTATACACATGTAAGTCTTGTGATCATTTGGTTGTATATTGATTATTTCATGTTTGCCTATTGACCCAGTTTTTAAAATAAAATACTTATATATATATATATATATATATATATAATTAAATGAGTATTTCTTCTGTATTATTGCAGTTCTGATTATAATATTTGAAAAGTTAATTTCACTTCTGTCCATGCATATCACTCAATAGAAAACTACACAACAGTATGCCTTGCAATTGACAGCAAAATGTTAACACTGCAAGGAGCATCGCTACTGCTAACAATTAACAATCAGGGGCAAAGTTGTATACGGTATGAAAACTTACACGCTAAAGAAACAAATTATAATTCTGAAACCTTAATAAAGGTCTTTAAAAATCCAATTTTTTAGCATAACATGTTGCACTATGGTACCATCACATTAGCGTTTGTTGCTAACTGTCTGGATCGACGCCGACACTGAATCTGACATTTGAATTATCTCCAGCGAACTCAAATGTGAACTCTTCTAATCACAGCGTTCCAAAGGTCTTTTGGCTAATCACAGATAAACTCAGACGCAATTACCCTGACAACTTTGCAACAGAAATGTAATGTTCGGATGAAGCATCATTCAACCGCAAATCACGTAGTAAAAAAAAAAAAAATCTTCTACTTATAATCAGTAGCAATTGCTCGAATTATGCATGCAACAGAGAATAGCAGGTAAATGTTTCACACCCTAATTCAAATGATGGAATTATTAACATTGAAAATGCCAAAAAAGAGATTAAGCTATTGCTGTGGTGAGCACGTTTTCTTAACTACGTTGACTATAGATTACGGCGTGCTGCAGATGGAGAGTTTCACATTTATTGCACATTTAATACAGTACAGTTCAGAAACACTTACAGCACACGAGACACTAAGTATGGTAAAACATTCAAACAAAACAAAGTAGGTCTGTCTTGGTTGTCAGTGCTGAGGCAGCATGAATAAAGGCCACCTCTTAACCTCTTTCCTTAGCAAGAACACCTTCGCTAATCTACTACCTTAAATACCTCAGTTCGAGGAATTGCCTCATGCGATCTAAATCCAGCCCTACAAGGAGACAGGCTTTAAAAGTCAAGGGCAAAGACGATGAGCTTCTTTAAAAACAGAAGAAAAAAAGAAAGAAACAAAAACAAACTTATTTTCTTTGCCAAGAATGAGACAAGAGCAAGAATTCATATGTAAAACACAGCTGTAATGACTTGTCTAATATGGAATAAATACAAAACAAACCCAAACGTATACCCCACATGAACTTTCCTTTACTTATTAGCTGAAGGAGTGAGAGCTTACACTTTCTATTATTTAAGCTTGTAAAGAAATTATATTTTTATGTAAACTCTGGAAGCTGGAATAAAAAAAAAAAAACATGCACTCCATAAACCTAGAAATTTCCCTTTATCAGCTAAAAAAAAAAAATCAACATCAGTTTTCTCTTCTAATGATTTTTCCACTGGATAGAGTCACACAGCTGTACTTAGCCAGGGTTGATGTTGTCAGAGAAGTTAATTAAACCAGTCGGAAAAACTACATCAAACTACGCAGAAGACCATGATCAGAGTGAGAAAAACATGATTGAAGACCATCACAGGAGCACAAATAAAAACTGTCAGATACCATGATTAGATAGCATGAAGATTAAAAAGCCTTTCAAACATTTACCTTACGAAATAATTAAAAAAAAAAAACATTCCCTTAAAAAGGCTTAAAAAAACAACTTAAGAATAAATAATTTCAAACAAGGAAATACAAATCAGTATATAAGAGCTTGAGAATAAAGAAAAAAAAAAAACAAATGGAGAAAAAATATATTAGAAAATAATCAACTAATGACTATTTTGATCTTTGGCTTGATGACAACAAAAACAGTTATTTACTAAGTCCAATGTGTCAAAGACACATGATTTAAGTGAATGCAATCCCTGAAGGAAATCATGATTTAAAAAACGATTTAAAAAGACAATTGCAAATGCCATGTTGCACAATGATTTTCGTAACACCTAATGAAGAACCAGCAAATCGGAAGGAAACGTTACTGATTTTTGATTTGAGTCCAGTGTGTGTGACTTTAGAAGTTTTCAATCTATTATTAAAAAGAACACGTACTTTATAAACTCTAAAACCCAGATCACAATTCCAAATAGAGAGGCCAGCAAACTGACCGGATCTGCAGTGTCAGAACTCACGCCATGCAGAAGTCGAGGTGTGCCAGCAGCTCCCTGTGACGGCTGGTGGGATAGGAAGTGTGACACTTGGGACACTCCAGGAAGCTCTCATCCAGGAGGTTAGTGGATTTGGGTGGAGACGTGGGATTATTAAGATTCAGGCGCTCTAACTCGAACCCGTTGTAGTTGCTCGGCTCTGAAAAGCGGGCGTTGGTCTGCTTCTAAATGACAGGTCGCAACATTTTGTTCAAAACCCTGGTAGATGTTGTAGAGGTCGCAGCATCCCTCAAGAGGTCAAAATAAAACACAGAGACACTCACCGCAGACTCCAGCTTTTCGATCTGGTCTCGAGCCTTGCGGAGCTCCTTCAGCACTTTGTGCAGCTGATGCTGCATGCGATCGATCTTTTCACTTTCGAATTCCTTGGCTGAGAGCTGGATCTTGGGAGAAAAAGTAAAAGAAGCCTTGGCTGAGAGCTGGATCTTGGGAGAGAAAGTAAAAGTAAAAGAAGAAAAAAAAAAAACACCTATCAAGTGGATTTGCTATGTTGTAGATATTGTTATATAGCAAAACACAGACTGTGCTGACTCTTCATATAACAAAAAAAAAAAAAGAAAGAGGTTTATCATATAAACTCACCTGCTGCTCCAGCGCGGTGATTCTCCCGTGTTCTTCATGTTGGCTTAGAAGAGACTTCTGAAGCAAGTTCACCTGTGAGGATTCACAGGATCAGGAAGAAAACACTGTTTTAACACCAACTTCTCTGTGTATCATTTTTTTCCTTTAAAATTAGGTCAGGGTTTGTACAGCTCACCAACTGGCTATCCACTTAACAGAAGAATCAATACATTTAAGAAAGAAAAGAAAAAAAAAATTAAAATCATCATCTTCTGCTGACAACATTGACCAAAAATTCTTTATCACCCACTTCAGTGCGACTGGGAACTTTGTAACCCAGTCGCTACCTCACACTAAAGTCTACACGGAAAAATCAATAGTTTTACAGCCGGTGGGGACATGTGAGACGCTGCACTGCTGCTGTCACAGAAGGAGTGCAAACATTGCGTTTGAAAAATGGCCTAAATCTGAATTGAGGACTTTTTAACATCAAAGTGACAAAGTAAAATAACTGAACCTATGGAAGGACGCAACTGTGGGTTTAAAAAAAAAAAATAAAAAAATCACACGTCCCACTGATGATTGTAAATCATAGATTTTCTTTTTTTCTAGACGCCAACTGAAAGAGTGGCCTCGAGTTTGCTGTCTGACTCTCTTATAAAGGAGATCGCTTATTGTCACAAATATTTTAAGAGTATTGTCACACAAGTATTGATTTGCTGGAGGAAAAAGAAACAGAGAGAAGAGTCCTAAATAGACAAATAAACATCTACGTAAGTGAAGAGTAGAAATGGCCGCCGCAACAAAGTCAGTTGGTAACAACCCAGTACTAGACTTAATTAAATTAAACAACGCTAATTACATTATCACGACATCATAGAAACAGTCCCTGAAAGTAAAACAAAACCTGTTTCCTACGCTTGGCTTGGCTCCACATTTAGGAAAACAAACAGTCCCTGAAAGTAAAACAAAACCCGTTTCCTACACTTGGGCTCCACATTTAGGAAAATGGGCTGAAGACTTCACCTGCAGCAGGAGGTCTGAAGATCTTTTCTTCTCCTCCTCCAGTCTGGCTTCCACGCTGTCCAGTTCCATCCTCATCCTGTCTGCCTTTTCAGATGACATCATCCTTTCCTCACACACCGCATGTCTGCACGTGGGATAAGCGCAGTCCGATCAAATGATGTGTAAAAAGCAAAATCCTGAAACGAACTCGCTTCGAGCTTATGGCAGAGGAGGACATTCTCTGTCCAAACTCTAATGCTCCACCAGAGGACTAATTGAAAACCAAATGGAGGAAGCAGCAGAAAGAGCCTCAGAAAAGGGAAGACAGTTGTGTGCGGAATACTCCCTAAATAAATAAGGAACAATTTAGTCTGGTTTTCCTGCTGCAAAGATCCCTTCACGGTTTACCTACATTAGTTAAACGACCTCTGACCCCTGTGTGAGTATTGGTAAAACACTGGTACCTCAGCTGTTAGAATACAGACTTTCAGTGATGACTAAGCAGCTTAACTGCTACCAAACACACCCCTCACCCCATCCGTCCGTTCAAATCCACGAAAATACAGCTGCCTTTAACTAGTCAGCGTCACTGTTGACAAATAAACCGAGACACAAAGGTGATCTGATACACATTTGGCCGACCTTTGCGTACGTACCTGGTGCCAAGTCGCTCAGCCTGCAGCTGGATCTTGGCTTCCTCCAGTTCTTTTTTCGCCTCCGTGTACTTCCTCAGGAAGGATGACAGCTCGCTGCACTTGTCCTCGTGCCTCCTCTGCAGCGACAGCAACTCCTCCTGGGTTTTGTTGACCTTGGCTTTCTGAGACTGCAGCTCGCTCTGAGCCTTCAGTGTCTGTCCACAAAAGATTAGTCATTATCTGGCCATTTCTTGTAGATCAGGCAATGGAAAACCAACCAGATGACAAGAAACGCACTTTAGTTGTACAAGTGGATTAGCTCAGTTCGCAACATTTTTATGCACTTTAGTTGTACAAGTGGATTAGCTGAGTTCGCAACATTTTTATTTTATTTTTTTAAACTTAGCACAGAGCAATCCATGGAGAAGACGTAAATACATAGATTCACGTAATGGTTACCTGTTCCTTCTGTTTGGACACTTCCTGTTGGGCTCTGATCACTTGATTTTTGTGGCTCTCCAGGTCTTTCTGCATGTCTGATAGCCTCTGCTCGTACTGGCTATTCAGCTCAGCACACTTTCCTTTAGGAAGACAGGTATAGCGAATATAGAAGTTTAAAAAAAACAGAAAAAAAAAGCAGCAATATACTGCTTATAACCTCTGCACCAGAAGCTCTGTCTTAGCAATGTGTCAGTTTGAGGAGTGGGTTGACGCATGATCATCATCCTAAACCCAAAACTGCCAGCATCAGGAGCAGCAAGATGGAGAGAAAAGCTAAACTTTTAGTGGACTCAAATTGACTAAAGGTGGAGAACACAGAATTTGGCTTATTGTCCAAGTAAACATTTTTACCTTACAGGAAGTTAAACGTAATCACTTCATGACTGGACTAGAGAGTAAAAACTAAAAGACAAAAATCCTACCCAAGACTTTACACGTCTCACCTGCAGTGGCCTCTGCTTTGTTTTCCTTGGTCTGGGCCACTTGCTGCTCCAGCTCCCGGGTGTGGACAACGATGGACCGGACATAAGCCTCCCTCTGCTCGTTGTACACTAGCCACTGCTGGTTCTTCTCCAAAGCCTGTTTTTTTTTAAACCAAATTAATGAATAATAAATGTAGTCTCTGTACTAGTATTTTGAATTGCAGAAAATAGATAAGTCTGGCATTTCTCTGATTTTAAATAAAACACATCAAACATCAGTTTTAGTTCATAAACATATAGATAAATCTACGCAAACATATATAAATACATACAATACAATATATATTTTATACCAACATCAGAATGCCACATAGTACTCAGAAAGAACATTTAGAGTTCCAGCTTATAAACTGTGATAAAGACGAATGCTTCAAGTATCGGCAATGACTGACACATTTTCCAATTGCAACTGGACAAACAACATTGAAGAGTGAAAAAGAGTGTCCCCCACATATACTGCACAAAGTCCATTTTAACCAAACTCACATCTCTTAGTTGATCTTGTACCATTGCCAAGTCTGGAGGAGGAACCTGTCCATTCTGCAAGCATGTGAAAACTAAGTTAGCAACATACTGACCCTTATAACCAAAAGCATCATTAAAAGAAATAACTAAAAAAATAAATAAATACAAAAAAAATCACTATAAAAGCTTTGGGTCAGCAAATGTATTTTAAACCACATATTTGACTCACAGGGAGATTTTGTTATGTACAGTAGCTGTAAAAAAAATAGTTTATAGTGATGTCAGGTTTCTAGGTTAAATATTGGAAAATATTTGAGTTTTTCACCATACAAGTAATATAAAGTTTAAAGTAATAAATTTAAGTAATAAAAAGAAAGAAATCAATGAGCATTTGTCTGTATATTTTATAACCAATGGAGAAAGAAGAAATAATGTAAAAAATAATGAAAATAAACGTAAGACTTAATATTAAAGTACAAAAAATGTTACAGTTAAACTAAAATTTGGCTACATAATGACTATTTCTGCATTTTTGTTTTTAATATTAAACAATGTTTGACTGCAGAAGTCGCGTTGGAAAAAACAGCTGTTTGTATTACTGAGATCTGTTTAAAGAAATCTAATTCATACGATGCCTGGAACATATTGTCACATTGTTTTTTCTCTTACTCTGGAAAAGATTAAATGTATAATTAACCTAATCCAGTGAAATAAGTTTTTCTGTTTTAAGTATAGTACTGCTGCTCTGGGCAGCAGAGGGTGATGTAAGCTGCTGTTAAAATGCCACACTGCCACCTAATGGTCGAAGAAGTAACGGCGCCGTCATTACAAAGTGCGTGCCATGTTAAAGAGCGCCTAAAACCAAAAGTTCAACCATCTATAAACAAAGATAACGTTTCTTCATTAAAAGGTTCCTTGATACGACAATAAAGCACAACCTTGGAGCCAGGTTTGTTGGGATGAACTATAAAACCTAAACTAGACAATAAACCAGAATATATTCTCAACTACAAGAGAAACTACAACCGGGACACATATTGAGAACAGAAGACAAGGGGAAAAAATGTAAAACAATACCATCCATTTCTCTTCATAAATATTAATAGAAATGTTATTGTAATCTCTTAATCGTTACATATTTATTTATAATTTTGTGACACTTGGCACTGATGCTGAAAAACAACCAAATAGACCGGGGCTGGACCCCAGCTCATTCTAGTTTGAGAACCCTGGAATAGATTTGCTAATTATCTACAGCACAACATAATTAGCATTCCTCTTGGCAACCAGTAGCAGTATATTTATCTTTATAAAACGGGAACAATAATGCCATGATGATTGATTATATGCAAGAGTGGTGGGGTGTTTCCTTCTAATAAAAAAACACTTTCGTCAGTAAAGATGTAAAGGCTGATAACTCACTACCACCTGAGTTTCGCATCGGGCAGACACGGTCACAATGGAGTTTTTCAAATTCTCCATCTCCTGCGTTAAACTTTGATACAGAGCATCTTTAAGCTCGGCCTCTTTCCTGCGCTGCTCCAGCTGACTCTGCAGTGATGCCACCACCTGAAAGCATAAACAACATCGGTTTGATTATTTACGGACAAACGGAGCGTCAACACAAACCGCACGGGCTCTGCAGAAAAATGTGTTGCCGTTATAATTTTTTTTGTATGCACTGTCAAATGTCTGACCAGCAAATGGTTGATGTGAATTGATGTAGCTTACAAGTGCAGAAAAACGCTGCTTGCCAAGCAGCGAGCCTTAGCTCAGAACATAATCTTTTCCCAGTGGGTTTTAAACCTAAATCTGTGCTTACTAGAGAACACTTACCTACAAACACAACTGAGATGTATGATATTTTCTTAAGTGGGACACTGCAGTGGTGAGTGCACATTAAAATGGATAATCACTGGTGTTCTTTGCCCCCAAGGACTGAAGTCTGTCTACACTGATCGTCTGATCGTTTATTGTAAGTGTATTTGAGATTTGTTTTTTACTGCAATAAATTCATTTCTTAAATTTTTTTTTTTTTAAATTCCAAGCATCAGGGTTACTTGGGAATTCTATTTATTTTTCATGCCTACTGTTCAGATCTGGCTGCTTTTATTATTTTTTTTTTTTATTATTTAGATTTGTCATTTAGTACCCCATTCAATTCAACAAGCACTTTATTTTGAAAGCTGTTGAAATGAAGAAAGAAGGTGTGACTTTTGTGTCTTCTCCAGTTGCACTTAATGTTAAGTATTTTGAACTTTCAAATCCCACATAGAGGAAAAGTGATGAACAAAAGACATTTGTTTGACTATGGCTTCATAACTGTTGTTACTTGTATGATAGTTCAAAATGCAGGACAAATTGCGAGCAAACATTTTCAAAGCGGTGCCTCAGTGGCCCTACCAAGAAGCCATCTGGAGGCATGAGATCAAAAAGTGCATTTGCAAAGTCAGAAAAAAATAATTGTGGTTTTCAGCACAGCAGAATGTCATCTAGAATTCTTCATCCCCTTTCCACCAGCCTTAATTAGAAAACTACGCGTGGCACAATAAAGAGATTTCAGAGATAGTCAAACCCCAAATAAAAAGCATCGGTTTTTCCCAGCAGTGTAACAAGTCACGTCACAGCCCACTGAACAGTAACAAGTCATGATAGCAATTCCACAGACCCACTACAGAGAGAAGATATTTAGTTTATAAATATCAAGTGAACACCAAACACCATGTGTTGGCGTGCAGTTTTCTGCAGGCTGTCAAACTGTCCCTGAGCTGAGCTGCTGTCACAGCGGGATAGGAGTTATTTCGCACCCGACTGTTTTTGTTTCAGCTTAGTGGAATTCAAGGATGATTTTCCCCATCTAAAACGTTGGCAGAACATATATGCTGGTACATAAGTGCCAAATATCCAACAATTCTCCACAGGTTGAAGTAAATCTTTTCACAGCTTTAGATTCAGACTCAGCATATATTGCAGAAAAGGGCTGTGGCTTAAATTCAGATAATGGTAAATGTATTGGATTATCCTACTATTCTGACAGAGTTTGCCAACAACTGATGCAACCTGGCAGTGGTGGTGACATCAATAGGGCAAACAGTAATGCAGCAACAGCAACAGTAGTTGTTTGGCACCTTTGCCCAGAGCCTAATTTTGCCAAAACAGGGTTCTGAGTACAGTGATATTTGTGTGTTTGCACATGATAAAATATCATGTGCAAACATAGCAAATATGTGCGCACACACACACATACGTGTGTTTATATATATATATATATATACACATATACATATACACACACACACACACACACATATATATATATATATATATATATACACATATATACACACATATACATACACACACACACACACACATATATATATATATATATATACACATATATATATATACACACACACACACACACATATATATATATATATATATACAAATATATATATAAAATGTTCAACCCACTCATATGTCAGGCAAGGGCTGGTACTTGAAAAGTTCAGTTTAAGTTTGGCAGATTTGGTGATATAGACTTTAACACAAAGTTCCTCTCTCAATGCCCTTGAGCAAAGCTAGAAATGAGAAATAAAACAACTGTAACACAACAATGAAGAAAAACTGTGTCACAAACAGCATGCTAGACTATGGTAAATGCTATGATTAATCTTTTTTTTTTCTTCTTTTAATAAACTCTAGAAATATAATAGTGTATATATGAATATACACACATACTTAAATATATGAACATAAATATATATCGTCTATATATAAACATATATGTAGCAATATATAATAATATTTTTTAAATAATTAGATATTAAGGATATTAAATTGAATGTCTAATATAGAAGAGTTTTGACTTTTTAAATTTTTTATTTGTTTGGCAACTGGTTGGATGTGTCCATTTATTACACAAGGTCTACTGGTAACAGCATACACAGACACACAGGCGGTCAACGACTGTTTGTAAAACAGACGAAATATTTCTTGACCAACACCATGGGGGCTGGACACTAAAAATAAAATAATAAAATAAAATTTTGTGTCTTTCACTATTATTTGATGTTTATTTGGGAATCCAGTCACGGGCTGGATAGGACCGCTTGGTGGGCCAAATTCAGCCAATGGGCAGCCAGTTAATAATCACTGACGTAAACTAACAGTGAACAGCGTTTTCAAGGAAAAATAGCATCCTCAAAATACCCTTTCTTAAATCATGTTTTGGCACAGATGAATCCTTTTTACTTACCTCTCCTCCTTTAGCCGACAGCTGCTGTCTCATCTTTTCCAGTTCTTGATCTTTAGCAAGCAACTGCTGGTTGTTTCTCTCCCGCAGTGTTTCAAGGGCAAGAATTCTCTGACATACCAAACAAGGTAACAAACAAATAATAAAAAAAAAAATTGAAAGAATGACTCATGTAGAGATATGTATAGAAAACTTCCAAGATTTAAAACTTTCTTTACCTCCAGCAGCTTACTGTTGTCCGTGTCAGGTGGTTTGATGTGCCGTTTGGCAAGCTCATCAATCTTTTTCCTCAGGTGAGCATTCTCCTTCCTGATTCTCTCCAGCTCTGCCTCGACCTTAGGGGAAGAGCTGGACTTGAATCCTAGCCTGCTGACAATGGTCTCTTTGTTACCTTTTGACGTCATGGTTGCTTAGCCACAGGTCCTCAGTCTGTCAACTGCAGGAGTCCAGGGACATAAGAAATTTGGGTTCGTTTAGTGTACTGTACAAAAATAGGAAAGAACATGTTTGTGTTTCAAGAACAATGGATTTAAGAGGACATGTATTTTTCCCTCAACATTCTGTACAAACTATATACTTATATAATTATTTTTTTATATACAATCATTCAGATTCATATTCATAACATGTTCAATAAAGTCATGGTAAAGGTGAAAACAAAGCAAAAAAAAAAAAAAAGACATTTTCTGACCAAGTTTCGAAGTCTTTTTCGAACATACGGTAGTTCCGCCATGACCATTCATTGAAATTCCAAGACTGTTACAGTTGCACCGAAAATTCCACAGAATTCTTAATTAAAATGCTATTTATCATTTACCAGGACAGATAAACTCTATCTTTACTTTTCGATACTTTTCCAGATTTTTACAACCGTGCTTGAAGGCACACGCGTTTCACGCTTTTTAATTTGTTATGCCCTGCTCTGCTTAATTACTTGAAAACAACTTCAAAAAGACAATAATAGATAAAGATGTAAATTAGGAGTATCACTCCTCAATTCCGTTGTACCCACGTGTTACAATGACAATAAAGGATATTCTATTCTATGATAAAAGGACAATTATCCTCGACTAGATAAATAAAAAATGAATCTGACAATGACGCGCACTCGGAACTTTATACATTACTATATCCAAATAAGGCATTACCACTTTTAGAATGAGGCTGTGAAAGTAATTAAATGGGTTATTGACAATAAATAACGAAATTAACAACGACTCACAGATCAGGAGCTGCAAAATGAAGACACAAAAGGACCAAACAACTTCTAACTGAACAACAAACTGGCAGCTAACAGTCCTTCACTTCCTGAAATTTGAATTGCAGCGCGTTGACGTCACGTCCGTGACGCGAACCGCAGGGTGCGTCTGTTATTTGCACACAGGATGTCGAAATACCTGTCAAAATGTGCAATAAATCGCGATTTCTATTTTTTGTTTTATGAGACGGATCAACGACTCTCTGTTTTGATGAAATGTTATTTGTTTTTACAATAATAGAACAAACATTTAAGGGTTTTTAATGTTGTTTTATTGAACTAACTCTTACATCCGGCTACCCCTGTTTATAAAACGAACGAACGGAGAAGCGACGGCGCGTCTTTAAACTACACTTAAACTAACTGGTTTGTCCTGTAAGGCGAACTGTGCAAAAAAATTGGGCTGCAGCCGAACAAGTCATAATTCCCCTCTATGTCCTGAACACAAGAATGGAGTTTCGCTATTCACTATATATTTAAACTATTCTACACTGAGAAAAACACTGCGTTCTATGACAAAGTATAGTGTATTATAGGGAAGCTAACAATGCAGAAAGGATTTAAAAAATAATCAAATGACACAATGCATATTGCCTTACTTACTTACTGGACAGAGATGACTTCGAGGTACACAAAAGAAATATAAATAAGATAACACAAATATGTTTATTGCATTATTCTGGGGACAATGGGGACAATAACAGAAAAAGGCCTGTACAACCTTGGACGTAAACCTTGGGATGATTATTTTAGTGCAGAAATACACCGCACAAGTCACTTTGAGGCTTAAATTTGAATAATGCTGACTACAGCAATGGATTGCGTGCTCTGGGAATTAATTATTTCCTACTGTTGTGAGATACTGACCATTCGTCCAAACCAATTTTTTATTTGTGAAACATGGCTGTTTGACTGTATGAGGAAGCCTGAGGGATCATGCCCAAAGATTACGGCCACCTTTGGAATAACGCTGCCCACTCCATAGTATCTTCTTTATGTCCTCTGACCTTCGGATTAGCTGCGGACTATAAAGGAACGGAATAGTTTGTTTCGAATGGAAAAAGAGTCAAGGACGTTGGCTTATTTTTTGGGTGCATTTCAAAGATAGGTCCATAGATAGTCATATCTGGCCACACCTTAAAAAATCTGAGGAGAGAGGAAGCAGTGCATATCACATTTAAAGGATGCCTTTGATTATATCTACTGCATGTTGCTACATCCAGTGGGCAGTTTTTATTCCCCATGCAGCTGACATAACATCTGTTTTAAGGTAACCTTCGCAGCTCTTGATTTTATTTTTCCCAAACAGTCTGAAAATACTAAGGTATTTGGTAGCATTCCAGCTGTGTTTGCTCTGCAGGACCACTGCCACCTCCACCTTCTGACTCCCCTCTCCTCCAGGTTTAAATAAACATGAATAAACAAACAAAGCACTGCTCTAAAATGCCAAAAGAAAGTTCTGAATTTCGTAAAATATTTTAAAGGAAAAAAGGAAATAAAAGTGCATATTTTTTGTATGCTTTTTTGTATTTAGACCAAATTCAAATCAAATTTGAATTTAATGTATTTTTTTCAATAAATATATTTTGCAAGGACATTGATTTAAACATATTTAAAAATATGAAAATTTACTTGCAGACAAAAATGATGGGAAATACAATAGATCACTGTCCAATATTAATAATTTTTACTGCCACTCCCTTACTGCATTGTGCTGCATTCCACACTTTGTTACCCTGCTGATTTACATCACAGACACCATGCCCAGCTTACTTTTGGGAATTTACTTTCTGGAATAAGTATATTTCTGTTCCAAATAATATATCACCAAAAGTGAAAGTGGGTTCTTTTCATGCAATTTATATTCAGAGATCCAAATTCTGACTAGTGACCTTGTTTTTTCTTCAAACACAGAGACGTTCACGCACGCACACAAAGTATATGCAACCACAGGAGCATTGAAGCGTATAAATATCTCCTTGAGTGGCAAAAGTAATGCCAGTAAACGCAGCTTGTCATTCCCATATCTCCTTGAGTGGCAAAAGTAATGCATTCCTAAAAAAAAAGACCAGTAAACGCAGCTTGTCATTCCCTCCATGTGCCAAATACCATTTTAATGTGTTTAGAATCACTGTAATTCAGAAACATTTCAAAAGCCCTTAAGACTTTGTTAGACTGCAAAAGCCTCTAATAATGTAAAAACAGTGTTGCTTTTTTTCCGGTAAAGCCTTCAATGAGGTCAGAACGCTAGTATCTTGGTTTTTTAAGCCATACAGTATGACAATGCAAATTTTTGCTTCGACATATGAGTAAATATTTGTGTGTTTTTATGTGTTCGTCGACTTCCGTACGCATCTCTCGCGAGTCTTCCGTATTGTGTTTGCGTTATCTATGTGATTTTCTCTTCAGTTTGTGCATTATTCTTTATAATAGTGATGAGTCCTAAGAGAGTGAGTGGTAAGGATGGTAGTAGGAAGAAGAAACGAATGATGACCGTGGAAATAAAGCGGGAAATTGTCGATAAATATGATCGCAGTACATCCACAATTTGTACCATCCTAAAGCAGAAGGATGCTATCAAGAACGTAAATCATTATATATATATATATACATAATATATATACTGTATATATGTACTGTATATGTACTGTCAACAATTGTTTCAAGCCTTTTTTCTTCAGAAACGTTTTTCCAATTCTTGACAAATAAATGATGTTTTTGCTCTCCGTGACAACTTCCTATTAACCCTGTTTCTTTCCTCTTGATTTCTGTTACACTTTTCCCCCACTTTCTGCAGTTTTGAGTTTTTACGCTCCTGTAACTACCTGATCCTCATGCAGTGTGAAAGAGCTGTCGTCATGAGGAGAGATTTTGGATCCCAGCTAAAGACAGTACGGTTAATGATCTTAATAGGAATCTTGGGACATGGAGGTGTTGTCATGTCAAGCCCTGCCAGATAAATGATGTTTTTCCCCTCTTTGATTACTTTCTCATTCTCTTGTGTTTCTTGTGCTTCACACCTTTTTGTGTCTTGCTCCAGGTCTTCCACTTCCTGCCCTGCTGTGATTATCTGCCCCTTACCTAATGCGATTTAACCCCATCTTTCAATCTCCTACACCCAAATTTGGTGCTTCTGCCGAATTTCTTGTTTTTGTCTCCGAAGATTTGTGATACAGAACATTTCAATCTATGTAATGTCTTGGAGTAAGTGGTTGACATCTGTAATGGATGGCTGGTATACTATAATGTACAGAAAGTTATCATATTAACTCTGTTACGTAAAAAAAAAAAAAAATCTGCATAGATATATAACACTTAGGTTAATTAGATGGTTTTGCGTGTTTTTTCAAATATCAGGGAGAGAGAGAGAAAGAGAGAGTGAGACAGAGAGAGAGCGATAGAAAGATAGAGAGATAGAGAGAGAGCGAGAGAGAGAGACAGAGAAAGAGCTAGAGAAAGAAAGAGACACGCAGAGAGAGACAGAGAGCGCAAGAGAGAGAGATGGAGAGAGACAGAAAGAGAGACAGAGCGCGCAGGAGAGAGAGATGAAGAGAGACAAAGACACAGAGAGACAGAATGAGAGAGAGAGATTTAAGTGTCACTACTTGTATCATTATACAATCATGCAACCATTGTTTTTAAGCTTAAACTTACTTGTGTGTAGTATATTGATAGTCCAGAACAGAGGTCCCCAACCACTGGTTCGGGGACTAGTGCTGGTCCGTAGTTCATTTGGTACTGGGCCACACTGGGACACAGTGAAAAAAAATGCAGAGAATAGGCAGAAGTATAATGATAATATAAATGAGTTATATAATTTGGAAAAGTGAAAAAAGCTGAAAGGGCTGGATAGTTTGTCCATGCCTGGTCTAGAAGATGTTTTTTTTTTAAAATTGAATTATCTAAAATATTAGCAGTGTTTTAGGAATACTTACTGTATCATTTGTTTGAGACCTATTCTGATCAGCAAAACTTGCTGCTGTCTGAAGGCTTCCTCACCAGAGCCCAGGAGGAAAGGACCAGTGAATCTCTCAGTGAATCATATTTACAGAGCACAAGCAACTATTTCCCACTTTGGAAGTGATCCTATGCATCTCCGTATCACTGCCGCCTTTTGCAGTCTGGAACTGGGTCAGTGGCTGACCTGTGAGAGACCCAGAACTGTCACCGGCGCTGCACTGTGCAGTGAAGCACACACTTTTTCAGCACGAGGGCTGCGGTGTCCTGCGAAGAGCTGTAATGCGTGAGCTGAATCGCAGCGATTGGACAAAAGTTGATGTAATATTAATGACATTTAGCTACAGCATGTACACGGGATGAGGACTGACACTATCAGACTAGGTATTCAAGTGATATCTGAGAGCAGATACATGGGATTCTAATGAAAAAAGTCGAGACTGCTGAGAGGAAAATGGCAGATAAAGATAAAGACAGTGTTCAAGCCGGTCTTCTACAGAAACATGTCAAACCATATATTAAGGTTATCCTTGGTATCACTCTTGGGAAAAGTATATACGCAGTTGGATTTCTTAGAAGGTAAGACCAGGCACCTGCCTTTTATCCTTTATCATCTGACAAGACATGACACGTCCGTGTCACAGGTGCACCTTATATAAAGCTATGTACCTGCCAAGACACTCCAGCAATCTGTGGATACTGAGAAGTGAGATACAGCTCAAGAAAGACTTAAATCACACAAAAACTCCCCAAAAAGCTAGAGATACGGTAATGGGAATTTTGACCTTGGACAATAGCTTAAAAAGCCCAGTGCACGAGTGCAGAATCAGTACAGGCCGCCAGGTCATTACTTGGGTACCGTTGGACACCGTACGCTCTCGACTGAAGCTAGGGTTTTCTTGGAAACATCCAATAATTGCTCCTTTCATTTTACTTATGTCGCTTGATGTTATCACACAGTCCTTCAGACTTCCATTATGGCATTATTTAAGGCTTTTTAAGGCATAATCAAAGGCTAAAGGATTAAAAGAAAAAAAAAAAAAACGCAACGCAGACAAAAGAAAGCTAATGTAGCATAATCCAATGTATGGCTCACAACCACGAAGTAAACAAAGCTGTAGTTTTGGGGAAAGAAGCAGAAAGATGACAGA